CTTTGATTTTTAAAGCATCAACCGATTTCTTTTGTATGTCCAATGAAACACTTTTTTCCTTGTCATTCTTGTAGCCTGTCATTTATAGATCCACTTTCAGTATCAACTCTGTCTCTGTCTTGTCAGATAAAACTTATTTGTCTTCTGCCATTTCTTCCAAAACATCTTTTGGGCGCAGTCTATGATAGAAGCAAACATCGCTATTGACATTGTTGATAGTAACTTCTGATTCCATTTTTCAGAAGTATCCTTCAGTATTTCTAATGTTATAATATTTTGCGTCATTCTATAGCTGTTAATCAGGTTTATGTATTCTCCATTAATTAGCATCTTTAGTTCCCTCTAGTGTCCAATTTTTGAAATTGTTTATCTCTTTTACCTTCAAAGCAATTTGACTTTCCCATGGGAAGGATTCTTATAATTCATTCCAAAATTTTATTTCAAATTAATCTGTTTGTAACTTTCTAAAATTGATGTCTTAATTAGCTCTTTGCTATCTATTTCAAACTTTTTAAGTTCTTAAGCTTGTTAAATTTCTGAATGTGTTTAGAAAAGGAATTATGTGAATTTAGTGTCCTTTTAAAGCACCAACCGCAGTTTGAGCAAGAAGTCTACTCCCTTGTGTCCCAGTGCTGAAAACTTGCAGTCTCCTCGCAAGGAGCAACTGTCTGGAGCACTTGTGGATGATCTCCTGTCCTTTCTTTGTCCAGAGATGTTCAAAGAGTCAGTCTGCTCACCAGCTGTTCATTCGTTGCCATGGTCATCCTCTTCACTTTTCGTGGAGCCATTTTCAGTCAGCCATTTTTTCCTCCAGAAGTCTACAGAAGGTCTGGAAGTCTACAGAAGCACAATTCTGGAAACTATTTCCAAAAAAACCCCAACAGAGGTTAGATAATACAGGTAGATCTCACTTAATGACTACCCTGTTTAGTGACCATTTGAAGTTACAACAGCACTGAAAAAGTAACTTTACTGTACAACCAGTCCTTGCATTTAGGGCTGTCACAGCATCCAGTGGTCACATGGTTGCCATTTGCTTGCTTCATAACCAGCTTCCAACAAGCAGAGTCAATGGAGAAGCTGGCAGTAAAATTGCAAGTTGCAGTCACATGATGTCTCACTTAACAACTGAATGGGAAGTGACATCATAAGTCTGTCATGGTCATGTGATATTTCGCTTAGCGACTCTGTTGCTCTGAACTCAGCTGGAATATACATGGTTGTCTATCACACAGAAAGCCTGTCTGCATATCCATCCCTGCTCTTAATCATATCGACATTGGAGGAAATATCCTGGGGCTTAAAGTGGGAAATGAGGTGTAGATGCATCCTCAGTGTCTCTTCTGGAGGCAGGAATGGCATGGCTAGTCCTGCCCAGCTTAATGCTAAACTTTATTCAGAACTCTCAGTTTATTAACTTGCTTAGTCCTGCATAAAACTGCATTATTGGGGAAAAGTAATAATAAGAGGGCTCTCCTGCATTTACAGTAAAGATAGTATGTGTGCCTACTGCCATAGGCCCTTTATTAGTCCATCCTTTTTAGACAATATGCAAATATTAACTGGGTGGGGTTATTAGATAATGTCGATAATTAATTTGCTAAGGAAGTGGTATGGCATAGTGAGAGGGACAGCAGACTTGGACTAGGGAGATCAGGATTCAAATCTTAACTCAAACAAGAAGGTCACTAGGTGACTTTGGGACAGTTATGGGAGACGAGCACCCAGAACATTTGGCATTTAGTGTTGCTTAATGGAAAAACAAAGTTTATTTTCACTCAGTTCAGGGCAGGGAGCTCCTAACACGAGCCCAGCTCTAAAATACAATTGTTCACTGCATGCCTGCAGGATTAAAGCTATATGTGTCTGACAGTTTAAGTGATAGGCTCAGAATAGCCTGAGTCAGGCTCAAAAGCCCATTCAGCTAATATTTCTGCCAGGAGACCTTATGCCATCTCTCTGCCCATCCTGCATCATAGTTCATTGTGCCCGGAAGACATCTCAAGAAGCAATATCTTCACAAGGTAGTCTTTTGGATGGTCTTACAAGGTAGCTTCAGACCAATGGTGAAACCAGGTCACATGATATAGATGTGTTACCCTCCACCTGTGCTAACTGGGGATGATAAGGGATTTAGTCCAACAGATACCGAAATGCCAATGGCTGTTTAGGCTTACAAGGAGGCAGGATTTAGAGTTGATGGCTTGAAGGCAGAATCTTTAAAAGATGGCTGTATCAACAAGCAAGCTAGCCTTCCTACCTTGATGGTTTTCTTTTTCTTGAAGGAACAGTTAAATAGCATATGTGCCACTTTGTACATCCATGCCAAATACTAATGTTTTGTTTGAATTTCTTAAAACTCCATAGCTTGGTAGAGAATGGAAGACCTCCTGATCCTGCTGACTGGGCAGTTACAGATGTGGTGAATTATTTCAGAACAGTGGGCTTTGAAGAACAAGCGAATGCTTTTCAAGAGCAGGTAAATCTGTTTGCACAATATCCTTTTACTTTTAGCTTGGGGAGATTTCAGAGTAGAGACCATTACAGGCAAATACTTGGAATTGCAAAGACCCAGTTTCAAATCTCCTCTTAACAACACTGGGTCACCTTGGACCAGTTGTGCTCTCTAAGACCAATATACCACACAGATTTGTTATTGGAGTAAAATGAAAGATACCCCCTAACCATACTCTGCTTTGAGCTCATAAATGAAAGTGCAATAATGCAATAAGTAAACAAAATAAGCATTCAATACATGCAATTAGTAGTGAATTGGTTGGAACTTTTAAATTGGTTGAACTGCATGATGGAAAATGAACATGTGAATGTTAATCCCGTACACAGCATTATCAAGACAATGTCTGTACCCTTCCAGTCCCTTGATAGACTTGCTTAGGTTGGCATCAACACATCTCAAATAAGTGAAAGGGAGGAGGTGATAGGTTTTGTGTAGTAACATCTACATAATTGTATTTCCATTAGTTGCTATGACTGTATAATGAAAAGCTGCTAATCCAGCAGGGTTTATTTACTCCTCGGTCCTCATTATTAACTAAGTGTTCTTTTTAAGCATCCTTCAGATTTTACTGCTAAGGAAATTCAGCAGGGAAAAACAGCAGGATGAGCAGTCTAGCTGGCATCAGCTCCAAGTTTTGAAACGGGTCCCAGAGCCATAGGGAAAGTGTGCATTTGATGCTATGTGCAAAATGCCCGTGCAGTTTGTCCCTATTTTGGAGAGGATTCCTTTAACTCCTTGATGGGACACTGGCTTTGGTTAGGGTTGCACAACAGTGGTGGTGGGGCCACTGATGGTAAGGGAAATGGTGCTTATAAGTACAGAAATGGGGAAAACAACCACTTCAGAGACTCTGAGTAGCAGGATAACTTTAAAAGAGACAAAGATCTATTTGGTCTGAATATAATCACTCTAATGGGGTTGTTGTCCTGTGGTAGCAACTTTCCAAGGACAAGGAATTTTAGATGTCTCAGCCACACCCTCAGTTCTTGGATGTTTCACGTGTCCTTCTTTTTCTTTGTAGTCTTTCATACATCATTATAGGAGTCATTTTTCCATCATTTCATCTGGTGCTGCTGCAGTAACATTTAAAAGGCTGGTTTGGCACGGCTGGAGTCAGTTGCGTGGGTTGTTCCCCACCATTGATGTTGGGGGGGGGACAGATGCGATACCCATAAAAAAGGGGCAGGGCTTTGATTGCGCCATCTTAATTTTTTTGAGAATGACAAACACACACACCGCAGGCGGTCCTGATCCCACTAAATCCTGGCCTTCATTTTTTGACTTTGTGATCAGCTCCAGGCATATGATTCTGATATTTCACCTGTTTCTTCAGTGCTGGATCCAAAACAAAACAGTGAAAATCATGCTTGCTAATACATGAAGTTGCCCCCACCTTGCACTTGTTGGTATCTTACTTTCCATTCAGTTCAGTTCCTGATTCAGTTTTTTTAGCACGTCAGAAAATGAGGGAAGTTCAGCAGCTGCTATTCTGTTTAAAAATAGTCACTAAAACTTCTCATGTTGAAAGACACGGTTTGTGTGAAGTACAATTTTTAAACCCAGCACCTTTGTATGACTTTTAAACCGAGAAGTTTATGTTATTGATTACATTTGTACCTCACCTTTGTACAGGAGCTCAAGGCAGCATACATACTGTTCCCTCTTCCTATTTTTTCCCCCACAACACTCCTGTGAGGTAGATTAGCCAAATACAGAGTGACTAGTCCAAAAGCACCCAGTGAGCTTCCATGGCTGGACTAGAATCTGGGTCTCCTGGCTCCTAGTCCAACACCATCACCACTCCACCACCCTGGCTCTGTTTGAGGATTTTCTTTTGCAAAACAAGTCAGTGAAGTTTCAGATGTATACTGCCCAGTTACTGGGGTGAGTAGAACATTTTTACAGAACCTGGAAAAAAACCTTGTTAATAAAGTGTTATTTCTTATATTAGAATCTTTTGAAAATCATCTTCTTTATTATACTCATTTAAAAAAACAAACCCTTCTGACTGCTTAAATTTCAACTGACATAATCATTTATGACATGGTGTTGTTCTTTTGAGAGCATTTCAGAACAGCTTTACTCTCACAATGCTCTGTGGCGCATCAGTGGGACTTCAGAATATCTAACTGGTTTTAAAGGGATGCAACGTGCAGTGGGTTCTGAAACCACCACAGATCAGTGGTGTGGATTTTTACAGCTGTCCCCAGGAACATGGGTGTGAAGTTAATTACCAATACCTAGTTGTTGTAAAACTCATTTGAGCCTATTCTTATTGCCTGCTGTTGTCCTAATAGATTGAAAGTAAGCAGTTTGGCTTTAGTATGTTTTAAACTGAAATTTAAAAAAGGAGTGATGGAAAGGCTAGTTGCCTCTATTGTCTTTGTGATTTTAACCAGGATAGCTGTTCTAAAGGCACACTTGTTATGAGCTCTGTAATAAACTGTAGTTATTATTATTTTTATAAAGTACTCCCAGGGTAGCTTACAAAGATGCACATACATCATTGTAACAATACAATAAAACACAACAAGGAGCCAAATTGAAAAAGGAGCGATATCCATAATCTCTTTAAAGGAATAGAGAGAAAGATGTCTTACATTTCAGTCTTCTATTGTAAAAAGCTTGGGGAAAAGTGAGCGTGGTGTTCTATTTATTGGAAGTGAAAAGGGTTGCCTCTGATGTTAGTAGAGGCTGTAAAATTTTCTTCTTGTGTGATTTGTCTTTACGGAGGTCAGCCTTTGTTTTAGGCAGCAGATCCCATTGTGTGAGTGTGCGTGATACTGTGGGCATAAGTTATACAAACTTAGAAAGTCTTGCTACTTTTTAAAATAGCCAATAAATATGAGAACCTAGAGTTCTTGCAATGTTTGGCTATTATAGTTACATAAAATGTGGAGGTCATTAGGTATATTTAGTGGTGTCATGGTATGTGTGGGTAGGCACTGCTGATCTGCACTCCATTAGCTGGTTACAGTAAACGTCTCTGAGAACAAACACTCACATTCCTTTAGTTCAGTGTTGTCCACACTTGGCCACTTTAAGATGAGTGGACGTCA